TCTTAGCACGTTTAATATAAATGAAAACTGAGCATATGTATGGTTTCAGGGCAATGAGTACTACATCTTTCATTCACAAACCTAAGGCTAAATGTTCCTAAATAGAGAGATAGAAGTTCATGAAAAACCTGTTTCAGTTGGATTCGAGTTGGACAATGCAACAACTTTCAGAGTGTCTTGTGGTTCTTTTGAGCTTGCTTGATGTTCCCTGAACCTTTCCCAATGCTTAGTTTGTTTTGAAGTGGCTTGAATCAACCCCTAGAAGTCAACCTGTATAAGCTTGAAATGAAAATGGTGAACACTGTAAATGGAGTTACAGTTGGCAATGGAGGTTTGGGATAGCTTGAGTGAGTTGAATGGAAGGTGTTTGAAGTGGAAAGGAGCAAAACGCACGAGCAAAATGAGCTATGGCACTCAAGTTGCAGCAACTGCCCTGTTTTGCAAGTTTTTGGTGTTTTGGTGTTCAAGGGTATTTGAGGGATGATTGGCTCGTGTTTCTGGCTTACAAGGATGTATAAAAGTTGTTTCAAATGTTGGCTTAAGTTGATTTTATCAGATATGTGAGTTATGGACTTTTGGTACAATGCCTTGGTTTTGAAGCAAAAAGTGGAAGTTGACAATGCAAAGGTTGTACTGGCTTGTAACCCAGCTGCACAAAGTGGTTGAGTTTTGCCTGACATTAGGGAGCCTTGTTTGCTGCAAAGGGCTTGGTGTATGGCTCAAGAAATGGAATTTGACATAAAGCAAGCTTTATGTAAATGGAAGTGTGATCTTTATGCCCAAAATAGAATTATTCATTGTATAATGCTCCCTTGATCAGAACAATGCCTCTAACCAATGTATTTGCATTCAATTTTTTAGTGTAAATTGGTTTAGATACCTGTAATCAAGTACAAAGCTATCTTGGTCAGATTTTGCAAGTTGTATGAACATGTATTGGCCATGGTTACAAAGTGAGTTTTTGCCAACTTCAAGCATTCGATTCTCCCTAACCACAAAGGTGTTTGAGGAGTTCTTGGACAATTTTGAAATCTTGCAACATGTACTATAATCCATCTTTGAAATGCAACTTGAGACTCCAAGTGGAACTATCTGAAAAATAGCCAAGAAGATGGGTCAAAATCCTGCCTAAACTAGGGCAAAATTTCTCTAAGTTAAAAGTTTTAGGGACCCTTGTTCCAAAAATCATAACTTGAGATCCAAGCTTCTTTTGAGAAAACTTTGTGAATAAAAGTTGTAGACTTTGTGGAGGAATACAACTTTCATGTTGTAAGTTTTGTTTGAATCCATTTGCATCATGGTGAAAATGTGGGGCAAAGTTAGGAAAAAATTAAGAAAATTTCATAACTTGAAAATTTTCTAAGTTATGAATTTTTTCAATTTCAAACCCTAATTTGCAATTTTGGGTTTCTTGATGAAAAAGTTTCATAATTTGACATATCTTGATGAAAAATGACCCTTGGCATTTGATTTTGACCAAAAAGTCAAAGTTTGACTTTTCAGTGTACAGTCAAATTTTGATCAGTTGACTGAAAAATTCATCTGTCAATCCTATGCATTTGAGACCTTTTGAATTTGTTGAATAGGTCAAGATGATGCCTTTGAGCCCTTGATTTCATGGTTGAGCTTGATTTGCCATTGGCTAGGTCAAACAGTCAAAAATTACCTTTGTACAATCAAAACCCTAAAAATGACCATTTTGCCCTTTTGGTGATTTGATCAAATTTATTTTGGAATTATGATCCAAACTTGATAAAATGGTTCATATGAGTTCATAATGTTGATGTGGGTCAAAATTCATGAGGTTTGACTGTAAATTGGCCACAGTTGACTTTTTCCCCAATACAGTTGATTTCTAGGTCAACTGTCCAATTGACTGGGCAAAATTTTGATTCAAGGCTTGAAACTTGGTATGGACAAACTTGTGAGTCCAACATGAAGTATGAAAGTCAATTTGAGCATTGTAGGTCAAAATATCCCTGTGCAAACTCAAACCCTAATTTCAGGTCAACAGTGCAAGGAGATGTCTTGAGCAGAGCAAACCCTAACTTGGTCTTGAGTTCCAAGAGTCTTGTGATGAGAAATATTGATAAAATAAGAGGGCAAATTTTGGGGTACAACAGGTAGCATCTCATTAAAACCTCGTCTAAGTGTGGACTACATAGCCGTCTAGGGTAACCTACATCCCATATCTGTCGTGTTCCACTATATTCCTATTATTCCTATTATTTGTCACTTGGCCTGGGTATTGGGCATTTTACCTCGCCGTAACACCCACCCAACAAGAAGCGGATCTAGTACACTAGTAGTATATGTAAAACAGTAAAATGCAATGGATACATATGATCAGGTAATCATGTATGGATGAATAAACTGAAAGCATAAAAATAAACACCCAAAGAAAAGACAACAAGATCTAGGAGCGACTCTGGTATGGACCAACAATTGGTCGATCTTTCCCCAGTGAAGTCACCAGCTGAAACAACCGGCTGAAAATCATCAAAAAATGAAGTCACCATCGAACATCTTTTATCCCACATGAAGAAAAAGATAAACATCGAGAAAATATGAGAAGGGAGAAGTCACAGTCTTATGACCAAGAGATCAGGTAAGGGAGTTTGTTACGCGAGGGGAAGGTGTTAGCACCCTGCAAATCTTGCTATCTATCTTATGGTGTGTATAATCTATGCTTACTGCTTAATACTGAGGAAGATGCATGCAAAAGAAAGGATAAAATAATGTAGGGAAAATAAAGTTGTGCTCGCTTGGGCCCTACCCCAATGCCTATGTATCCTTTTTGAGGAATCATAGTTATCGTAGTTCGGCTCACATGTTTTGTTTGCTTTTGTGTTTTTTATGAACAATGTTAATTTCTCCTTCTGCTGCAGCTCGGCCTTTAGAGACTCACACGTTGGCACAGAAGTAAATTAACATGTCCTTACCGGAAAATGGTTTTGAGTTACACCCTCAAGGCAAGATACCACATTTGATTGGTTTGTGTTTTGTTACCTTGAAAAATGGTTTAAGTGTGATTAGCATTTTTTATGATTTGCTAAGAAAAAGAGAGTTTTAATTTTAAATGCAAATGCAAAAAAGAGGAAGAAAAGAGTCTACGGGAGACTAGCCTATTTCTAATATTAATGTTATCATGCAATGGTAGTCCTAAGGTTTAGATTAACATAAAGTAAATGTCTACCTCATGTTAGCATGCATGGCTTCCAACCTAAGTTCTAACTTGCATACAAAAGGAACAAGCACGTCCAAAGGGGACATAGTATAGAAAGCGAGTAAGCAAACAAGCTCGAAAGATCACACACATGAAATGGTAAAGAAAAGAAGCTAAATGCTTTAATCAAGGGGAGCGGATCACCCGAGACAAACAAGCGGGAGTGAAAATTAAAAGAAGAGAAATGCTTTAGCTAAGGGGAGCAGATCACCTGAAACAAACAAGAGGGAATAAGATGTAAAACAAAAATGTGATGTCCAAAGCGATTGAACACCTAACCAAGATATAGAAGATCGAGGTAGGCGAAAAAAGGAAATATGAACAATCAAGGAGTGTCAGCATCGACCAATGCAAACTCCTGACAAAGGGTGGGGGTTCAGTTGTGAAACCCTTTTCCTCTTGACGACTCGATAACAAGAGTAGGCACAACTCCGAAGTATCATGGTGCATCACGAGTTAAGGATGACACAAACAAACTGCAGGGGTTGATTGTGAACCCTTTCTGCTTGCCTCCTTTTGAGGACTTATCATCTGTAATATATGCAGGCACAAATTTAAACACACATGCAGAATACCGACTTCAAAGGTAGGATTTTAAACAAACACAAATAGCATACAGTGGAACATAATTCAAAATTTTCTCTAAGCGGGTCTTTAAATAAACTAGAGAGGTTCTTGACATGATCAGTAACGGGGATCTCCATCATGTATCTCTAGTCCTACTTCTCATGGCAAGGAAAGCAGTAAAGAAATGAGATAAAGTGCGAACAAAATGTAAAAAGCAGTAGCGACGACTACCAAAAGCAGGCAAATCGTCGAAAGCAGACGAAAGTGATGTAGAAGCAAGAAGTACGCGTCGAGCAAGCTTCACCAAGAAATAAACAAAGTCAGAAACGATATCCAACTAAGATAAAAGCAAACACGTGTTGTGAATGCAACGCGTAATCAGAAGTTCCTGCACAAAGTATCACAAAATATCACATGTATCAGGATAATATATAATATGATATAAATTTCTCAAGACGATGAGAAATAAGGCGTGTCGCATCGGAAGCGAGCATAAGCCATATTATTCTATCACATAAACTATTATGTTACATGATCGAAAGCACCAAAATGTATCTTGCACAATGAACAAACGCGTCAAAAATAATGAGGCACGACGGTATGAAAATATGAATAAAAAAACTAAAAGAAAAAGTATTTTTATTAGTTTTTTATGTGAGGAAAATTCTATCAAAAAACTAAAGAATTAATTTCTAAGATCAATTAAAGAGGTCTAACAAATTTTATTAACTATTACAATTTTGTCATAACAAAAATCTTAAAAGAACTAAAAAAAAAATCCTAAATCTTAACAAGAAAATATGAGGGTCAGGAGGGGTGTGAGCTGGATTCAGGAGAGTGTAGCATAGTAAGCAGCTCTAGGCGCAAGGCCCAAGCTGGCTAAATCCATTAGTAGACTTTTTTGTTTGTGTATCAGGCTTCCACTAAAAACTGGTAAATTAGGCTTAGGGGAAGAAGATTTCGGTCCATAATCCAATCCAATAAAAAATTTCTTTAATTATTTAGTTTTTTATGTATTATTTATATAAAAAAGGAAAAAAAGGAAATAACAATTGATAAAGGGGCAGAATCATGGAATTAGGGCTCAATTATGTGACCCATCACCTTCCTCAAACACAAATTCCTCCCTCCTCTCTTCTCTTGACGGCACGGAGGCCGGTTCTTCTTCATCTCTTCTTCGCAGTGATTTCGTCCTCCATCAACCTCAATGGACTTCAAACACAACACCACCGTTCTTTTTCAGTCTCGCTCGTTTCTTAATCTCCATCTGATTTCGTTCTTCCGCAATCCAAACTTCATCGTGACTTCACTCAATCTCTTGCCTCACTTCCATTCATCAGCTTCTTCGATGAGTGTTTTATGCCATACATATACGCAAAAAGGACCTAAGAGATTGAAGGTTTGATTATTTCTGATACTTACCTACCAGAAAGGAGTCTGGCGCTTCTTCAAAAATGACGAAGTCAACGAGAATTCATGAATCTTCTGCAAATAACTCAGGTGCGTTTTTATGCTTTCACTCTCTTCTTCCTTGATTCTTGTGTTTTTGTTGTGGATTCGTGCGCAGCCTTTGAGCAGTGTAGATGCTTTGTTTGTTGGAGACGAAAGATTGTTGATGGCGGTTGAAGATTGAAATGCAACGTGAATATGACGAATCATTGGGTTCTTGATGTTGCAGAGAGGAGGGCCAAGATTGAAGACAGAGGTGGTTGAAGGATGATGATGAATATTGAAGGGAGTATTTGGTTATGGCGATGAAGCAGGGGAGAAAGTGCAGAGAAAATTGAAGATGAAGATAATAAATGATTGTGGTGCTTTTTAGAGAGAGATTGAGAGGTCAGTTTTTGTGATTTTTTCTATGGATTTTTGGTGAAAGATGATAGTGAATCCTAATATCTGTGAATTCTCTCTGAAAATATGTTATATGATTTTTAGAAGTTTGTTATGAAATCGGTTAGAGCTAGAGAGATCTCAATTGTTGAATGAAAGTTGGTTAGGATAAGTGAATGGTCAAGATCGATTTTGAACTTTTGTTAGTTGTGAAACTAATCCTTCTGATATTTTTTTTTTATTTATAAATATTCCCTGACTTTCTCTCCTTCTGAATTTCATAGTTTCTGGTATATGTCCTAATAAAACTTTTTCTAATTTTTCTGCTTGAGCTACGAATTTCCGACTTAATTCTCTGCTTTTTTTTGTTAATTGAACATGGATGCGGTTTATTTGTTATGCAGGGTAAAGGAACTGGTTTTGTGGTTATACAGTTAACTATTTTTTGCTTCTTCTATTGGACATGTTAGGCTGTCAGTTTTTCTGAACTATTTTGTAGTCTTATGCAGAACTGTAACTTGAACAATTATCTTGGCTACTGAAAACATGAGACCTGTTTGAAGGATTTGGCCATGGATACTTTGAAGGTGAGAACAGGAAAGCATGGTGAAGCCTTGATGATAGAGCTTGGATATAGGGGAGAAAGGCAACAATTATTGAGAGCATGGACATGAAGTTTTGAAGATTGTAGCAAGAATAAGGCTAGCTTAGGTTTAGCATAGGCTTAGAACTGAACTTGTAATGTCTATAACATGCTTACACTTTTTATATTTGTAATTTTAATGGTTCACGAATGATATTTGTATATTTAGGATTCATTTGAATGAGATGTTTCAGACTCTAATTGAACTTTGAATGAAGTTGGATAATATTTCCTCAATACTTCAATAACATCGTGAATGGAACTTCAAGTTTGAAACTTGCCATGATAAAAAGATCAATAATTTATTTCCATCACTCAGAAATCCATGTCTGTTATTCCTTAATGTTCAAATGAATAATGAACAATTTGAATGGAGTTTGCATAACCTTGCGAGCTTTTGTTGAATGATAATGATGAATGATGGATTTGGAAAGGATTTAGTTTGGATAAACTTGGATAATGGATGATGAAATTTGTGGGTGAAGAGTTTGAACAATGTTGAACTTTGTGTGAATGCCTTTGTGTCTTAGCCCTTGAATTTTACATCTGGCTTTCAAAAATATCCTTATGAACAAATGCTTACTAAATTTTCATAATGGAACCACTTGAATCGACTTCAAATCCAAATTATCTTGCATTCTCAATGAACCTCTAATTTCAACTCTCCAAATTCGAGCCAAACTTAACTTGCATGACAATCAACTGATGTCTAAAAGAGTGATGATGTTTTGAATCCACAAACCATATCTTGTAACCCATATCCTAAGAAACCAATGTATCACCAAATAATCCCCAAGCTCATAGACTCTTACCATGAATCCAACCCTTGCAATGATGAAGGTAAGTACAACAACCTTAATTCAAAGCATTCTCATTTGAATCTGAGTCATTGAAGAGACCATAAACACTTGATGATTTTGAAGGAACCTTGAAGATGGAAATCTTGTAATATCTCGATGTAAGAAATTCTCAATGAATCATGCACACAAAACCCTAGCTCCACAAACCAAAGATTGTTAAAGAAATAACTTGAATTAGTCTTGAATGAAAGTGAGACTCTCAAAGCCAAAGAGAAACCCTACACCTCAAGATCTTTGATCCCACGCCAAGTTTATTGATTAATGATGTATGCTTTATTAGATAACCTAATGGAAGGCATACAAATTAAATGAGAAGTGCAAAACGCATAAGCCGGATAAAAGTGAAAAGGGTAGGACAAATTTGGGGTATTACACCTTTGCCTGATCTGGAAGAGGAGGCATATGGATTGGGTGTCTAAGATGTTTCTGGCATAGAAACATGGCTAGATAAGTGTGTTGATTAAGGTATGATCATCATGTCATTTACTTCTGAGGTCAGTTTATTTCTGATCAAATAAGCATGAGTTAAGAAGCTGTAGCTCCAAGGTCTAGTGGATATTTTTTACCTCAAGTTGGATCCTTATATATGGAGGTAAAGGACGTTCTCTCTAATATCTGGGGGATTCTTATTATCAAAGGAGCCAAATTTATAGAATCTTTTGTGGCCATGAAACAAATTCTGTGTGAAGGGAGTAATGGTGGTATGCACTAACAACATGTTATGCTTCTATTGAGGAAGAGAAGTTATAATTCCTTTAGGAGTTATTTATAGTCAATACGGGGGAGTCCTTAATCTGAAGCTAGAAGAACTTGGAAAAATGTCAGACATAATATCTTGACATCTTTGTATTGGGAATTTATTTTTCTCAATATGTATGGTGATGTTTCTTATAAACAGGATGGATGTTGTTTACTCAAACTTGATATCACTATCAAGTCTATGAGAGCATGGAACTCTTGTTTTGTTGAAGTGTAAGGTCTTTTAGGGGATTGTGAGCATTGAAGATGTATCAACCCAATTTAAGTGTTTGATTGTTGTCTGCACTTTTGGAGTGTCATCTAAATCACCTAGGATGAGCATTTCAGAATTTGTTTGGAGCAAGGAGGAGTTAGTACTCCTTTTGGGACCAAAGGATTATGGTTCCTTGTTGTCTGCATGAGAAGTTTCTCCTCAAGCATGGGTTCAGTTATGTGGTGGCCTCACATGATTGAACATTTGTTTGTGGCTTTTAATGATCATTACATGCCATGTTTATTGAAGTCTACTACAGATACCTATTAGAGGGAATCTCCTCTTTAGGTGCAGAAGGATGGTGTTCAACTCCTTAATGTCAGACATGAGGTCTGAACATGGTGCATATGAGAATGAGATTTTTGGAGTTGTATAACATGGGTTACTGCATGTTTCTATGGTCTGATCCTGGAGGTTGATCAGTTGTTGATGTGTTATGGTGTGATTCTCCTATGTCCCTTGCAAGAGTTATATATGGATTTCCATGGGTATTGTCTCAAAATCCATGGTAAATGGTTAAATCCATGTGTTTTAGGTTGATATTTGAGTTGAGGTTAGAACATCATTTAAGTTCTTTGTTTCTTCAGCCACGAAAGTTTTTTTAAGCTCATGGTAGAGTGTAAGGTCAACCCTCTGACCTAGTCTGAAATGGTGTGAATGGTTGTCATGACTATTTGTCATGAAGAAGATTCTGATGGTGCCAGATGTGTGCAGAATAAGGATGTCAGATCAAATGTTCTTCCATTTGTGAAGAGGAAGACATTATCTGATGTTTTGTGTGAGGAAGTTTTCCTTTGATGATAAATACCTTATCGGGAGATGGGTATTAGTCTGACATGTTAAAGATGTGCATGTGACTGATGGTAAATACTCTGGCAGGAGTTGAATATTTGTTTGTCCTCTTAGGATGTTGTGCATATAACTGATGACAAAATACATTGATGGGAGCTATGTATATGTCTGATGTGTTAATACATGACTGCAGTCTAAACATCATGATTCAGAAAGTGTTGAGAATTGAATTTTCTCTATGTGGTTGTGTTGAGTAGCCTGGGTTTGGAAGTTATAACTAGTGAGATTTTATTTCTCTCTGTGGTGTTTTGGTGTGTGACAACCTGAATTAGCTGCTGAAGGTGTGATCTTTGGAGATCTTATTGTGTCAAGGACTTCTATGCAAATCTTGAATTCTATGGATGATGTATTAAAAACCAAAGTGATTGGGTTCTGTGATGAGAAGCTGATGTCCCAAATGATGTTAGAACATCATTTTTGAGGGTTTATTTAGAAGATGCTTGGGTTGTGGATATGGAGTACGGTGCCCAGCATTATGTCAGAAGAAGAATTCCTAAGTAGGCGAATTAGGATGTGAAGATTTTGATCTTGTTTATAGTAGTATGTTCTGGCAAAGCATGACTACTATCATTTTGAAGACTTCACTAGTATCAACAATTGCTAGTGAATGGAAGGGCAGAAGAATGTTATCCGATATTGTAGTCTGATCTGAATGTTTGTTTTGGAGGTGTTCTTCTTCTGCTATAAGTAACTCTAGGAGAGAGTTTTTGGTCTGGTCAGATTGTTAGTCTGGATCTTAGTAAAGATTTTAAGCACACTGGGAGTAATTGGAACTTGTAAGAGAAGACTTACCAAGAGTGCATGGCATCTTGGCCATCCAAGGAATCTTGATACCTTGTGTGGATTTGTGTGGAATTTCAGCAGATGTGCCATTACTGAACAGGGTGTTTGGATGTGTTCTCAAGAAGTGATAGGATATGTAAGAGTCAGGATTGATTTTATAGTATATGAAGATGTTCAGCAGGAGCATTGTTTATCCATGACAGGGGGAATCAAGTAATTGTTTATGCATTATTGTTGAAATGGTGCCGATATTATGAAGCCTGGTGCTGATCAAGCTTACGAAGAGTATTTACTTCTGGTGAGGCTGTGATGTCAAACAACATGCTGTGACATTAGGTTGCTGGATATGTATGGTTCTAGTTATGTGAATCTAGTTGGTTGAATCATGTGCTCACATGCTTCTTAGGAGGAGTCTGAAGAGCAATTTGTTTGTATCTGGGAGAATTTATTTTTCTCTGTAGTTTTTGGAAGAAATCTATCGGAGGTTTTTGTTGTTTGGGTTTGGTCTTGTGATGGTTTTCTTTGTCAATTTTTGGAAAAAATGGGGGAGAAAGGCTTTGTTCAGATGTTGTGTTTGATGTCGTGGCGTGTTTTACTTATTCTAAGTGAATGGAGTATACTTAGAATCCAGTGGAAGGTTTTTTGTTTGTGCC